ATTTACAATACAATGAAGGTGGGACGTGTTTCAAATCAAAAGTTATGTGCGAAAATGTTTAATTTAAAGTGTATTCTCAGGCTAATTTATAAATCCAGTTGCTTTCAAAAAAATTGCTGTTTGAGTTTCACGGTTTATTTTTGTTTGATACTTTGCTTATTCTTCCACAGACATGGTGCTTTGCCTGGATTTTGGCCGATTCCTCCTGACTGAAGAAATTAAGTCAGGTTAACGATTAAAATCTTGTAACAGAAGCTACATGTCTTCACCTCACTCACACACACACACCCTTTGAAACCTGCCCACACATTTTCCTTTTAAAAGGCTTTTTTATGACTTTAGCGGCCAGATCACAAAAAGATAAATAAATGAAAATGCGTGAGACAACAAAAATAGGTTACCACCAAAAGTCTTCATAAATAAGATTATAAACCAGCTCTTTATTCTTAAAAGGCAAAGAAAGACAACAGTTTTATCAAAATCTTACAGTAATAAACCAAAAGTAGTTCATTTAGATGAAGGTGGGGCAGATGTTAGAACTTTACTTTCTGTTTACGGTCTACAGTTGTTTTGTGGTGAAGAGATAGTTTTGATCAGAGAGATTCTCATTTGTTTTTCTGAGTAAGTGCTTTTATTACAGAGAGATTCTCATCTTTATTTACATTTCTATCTTGTCATTGTGTTTATGGCAAAACACTTGTTTGGTTTTGTTCAATTTGGTTAACGATTAAAATCTTGTAACAGAAGCTACATGTCTTCACTCTCTTTTTGTTTTTTTTTTTACAAATGGAAAGTTTCTTAATAGGTACTTTTTGTATTCCTTAAACTTCTTTCTTCTTCCTGTTGCCTTTGGCTGCAAATCAAATTCAAACTGCATGCAACCCGCCTCCAAGCTGAGGGTTATGTTATCTGTTCATGGTTTCTCCTAAAGTTTTTACTTGTTGAAACTTGTCATTATGAATTTCAACAAGAAACTTCAGAAAACGCCAAGAGTCAGGTTTCTGAGTTGTCTTGTGCTAACTCTGCCATGGAGATGATATTTATTGTTCAGCTCTATAGCTAAACGATGCCCAAACACATCGATATATTATGTTTTGTCTATACCAAAGCCCCAGTGCAGCCTATAAAAGGGCAACATAATCTGAATAATCAAATCTTGCAGCGTTGCATGAATGGTGACGCTTTCCCTTTTCCCACTGAACAACTGTAGCCACAGTCCAGTATTGTCTTCCTTGCTGAAATGCTGAAAAAGGAAAATGCTGAAAAGGAAAATGCTGAAAAAGGAAAGTGGTTTTTTTTTTTTTTTACCTTTAAAAAATTTTTAGAAATATTTTCCTGTGCGTTTGTAACTGGCTAAGAAAAATAAATGCATATTATTCTTGTGAATGGTTACAATAAAGTGACCATTCACTGATGAAAACTTCTTTAGTAAACATCCGCAAGTTTAATAGCTTAAACATAGATTAATAAAATAGTCAGTTTCCAATTAGTGCAAAATTATACATTTGTAAAATATGTTTTTTATTGACTCGAATTTTAGACAAAACAAGCAACATGTGCTAGTAGTTTGTGCTATTTTAGTCATCAGAGTAAAAAACATTTGAACAATCAGCGATTTAACCCCAAGAAAAATGACCGGACATATTTCAGACTTCTCAACCCAGAATCTTCTCACTAGATTTAAGACTTGAAACCTAAAAGTTCAGAAAAATCACAAAAAACAAACAAACAAGAAGAACACCTTCTTAAATAAAGTTAGAAGCTTAAGATATAGCGAGTAAGTTGCTCTACATGTTTCAAAAATGTCCCGCTAGTTTGGCGGGTAACTGAGTTGCGATCAGTTTTTTTTCACAATTCTATTATAAAATGTTTATTATTTAATCAAAATAAAGTCTCCGCTTTAGAAAAACCAAACTTTTGGAGAAACCACGTGAGGCATAAGACAGCCGACGAGTTCTTTTGAGTTCATCATTTTCCCTTTGTTTTTCATCAAACTTCTCTAATGTGTCGACTTGTATGTTGTCAATAAAGTTTGAAATCTCGTGCCTAGTGTGATGTCATCGACTCGCAAACATGAAAAGCAAAACTAGGTTTAAAAAAAAAGTTATATTTTGTGAAACTGTATCGTGGCAATAACCGTTTCATTACCCAGCTCTCTTCTTATTATCAGTGTACATCTGAGAGAGAAAAAAAGCTACATCTCTGGATTGTATCTTTAAGCCTGTGTTTGTTTAACAGAACCCATCTGGAAGTGTTGCGTTAAGTTCCACCAGCCTCACTGTTCGTGTGTCGCTAATGTGCAGCGAGGAGGAGCTGTTCGCTGCTGATGCGTTATCACCAGGAGAGGGGAAAGGGGAGGGGAGGGCTTACAAGCCCAGTTCCGCGGAACATCCTGCAAACAAGTCCGGGAGTCGAAACCAAACTCCGCTCAGTGTTTCCCCCCCCCCTCGCGGCGCTTCGCTCCCTCCGTGCTCGTGTCGTGATGCCGCTCCGTGGGGAGGAAGTCTCAGCGCTCCAGCTCTAGTTGCCCTGCTGGACATATGAGTGAGCGCCGTTTTATTGTTTTCGTCTCCGAATGCACGGCGGTGGGACATCCGGCATGGAGAGTCCGTAGGAGGAGGAGGAGGAGACCACGGTCGCTACTGGTTTGGTAAAGAGAGCGCGAGCGCACCGACGCACGCGCTTTTCTGCGCTCGAGATGGACTTCAAGAAGACAAAATTTGGAAGGTAATTATGGTGAAAACAGAAAGTTTGAGCTCATTATGAATGAAAGTAGAATCCCACACGGCGGACAGATGTTGTCCATCTACTACGCGCTGTGACGCGAGGACAATCAGAGTGATGTTACAGATTAGTGAGCGCGTATGCGGGGGAGCAATCAGTTTAAATTTCAGTCTTTCTCCCGGGATCATCGTGTTTCCTCCATCGGGGTACAGTGGCGTTGAAAGGTATTCACTCTCCTTGAAACTTTTCACATTTTGTAACATGGAGCAGACTTTATGTGATAGAACAAGTAGGCTAACACTAAGTCATTTCATTTATACAAATCAGAAAAATGTGGCGTGTATTAACCAAGCCAATACTTCGTAGACCAATCAAATTGATAGATCAATATTCACGTTTTCGCTACGGATTCTAGTTCATTCCAACACATGATCATATTTTCATCTAAACCATTTCACTGTCTTAAGGGCAAACCTTGAGATTTTTGCACTCTCATTGTTTTGTCGTTCAGGATTGTATCCCCAAAGAAAAGCGTTTACACAGCATAATGCTGCCACCACTTGTTTTCAGGGTGATGTGCAACACAAAGCTCACCCATGTGTTCTTCTCTGATTAGTGACTTGTTTTGTCACACTCTGTCTATTTACTGAAAGTTTCTCCTTAGAAGGTCAAATCTGGATATTGTTGTATAACCAAACAATACTTTAAACTTCTGCACAACTTTATCTCTGATCTGCTGGGCCAGATTTTAAGAAGAGCTCATGGGGCAGTAGCCCAGGGCGCCATTTTTTGGGTGGTGTCCCAAAGATTTTTCTTTGCTTTTTTTTTCAGTGAATGTGTGTTTTTCAAACATTGTACTTTATATAAAACCTATATGCACAAATTAGATGAGTCGCATTAATATTTTATGAACTGAATGATTTTTAAACAATATTCAAGTATTTGGAAATAATGAAGTTGTAGTCGATTTCTTGGGAATGACGTAGAGTTATTGGCTATTAAACCTCCCATGAATCAAGGCATAGCTGTTGATGACTACCTATTAGTGTACTGTAATTTGCATTAGTAAAATAAGTTTTCCTCAGTGGACAGGGCACCAAAACTGCTCTGCCCAGGGCCACACATCCTTGTAAATCCGGGCCTGCTGATTTAACACAGGTGGTGGTTTTGGGATATCAGATTAAAGATCGCTGAAAACTAAAGAAACCCATGCTACTTTTGTTTTTATGTTTCTTCCCCATTGAAACACATACATGGGTCAGGGTTCTGTTGCTCAGTAAGTCTCCCCCACCACGATGTGGGTCATAGTTCAGCGCCACGACATCAGTTTATCAAGTCCAGTCCTGCCCCGGGACGTTTGCTGCGTTGAAGGGGAAGCTTGGCTATAATCGTGAGAACCGGAGTCAGGACTCCCAGAGGAGATTAACTTGTTCTTCGCAGTGAAAGGAATAGCCTTGGAGTTACTCGCACACAGATTCTTGCAGCGCACGCTGTGATCCAGAGGCTCTGATCCTTACATTATTACGTACGGCTGATCCTATTCATGCGCTGTGTGGCGCAACGGGCCCTCTGTCTCCACGAAGTGAAAGCCGGGCTCCTGCAAACACGTGGGAACATTTAGCCGGCATGTGACGCCCATCTGTGCACAAAAGAAGAAGAAGAAGAGGAGGCGAGTCTTGTTACGAGGAAAGAGAGGATCAGAAAAGAAGACAGATAATGCTGCCGTCCATCCTGTGCAATCAGCCCCGTTTTTCAGTTGATTACACACTCTGGCACACACACACTCAGAGCTCTGTCATAACTGATTAGAGAACAGGAGAGCGCCACATGAAGCCACAAACACAGCAACAGTGCTGAGGAAAATAGCTGCTCGCTTGTTGTGTGTTCTTGGCTCGGCCTCAAGAGATGGAGGACAAACAGGGAAGAAGTGGCAGCTACTCAAACATCGGATGTTATCTCACTAATTGTTTCTGTCTTCTCTGCTCTGAAGTTTGACAATAAAAACTTTGAGTTTATTTCATCATGTCACCATTGGAGCCATGCTGGGTTTTTTTTTAATTTTATATTTTTACTCATGTAAGTAGGAAGGGGATTCTTCCAGTGAAGCTACAGAAAGCAGGACAAGCCACTTTGCGTCACGTGGTGTTGCATACAAACAGAAAAATAAGGGTGGAAATGTGATAAGGAGATCTGTCATGTACATTCTGGGACCTTGACGCCCACATCCACGAGCTAAAGCCATCACAGAAAAGCTCACAGACGTCAACAGATCTGTTTGTGGAGGAGAGAGGGCGGGTCGAAGGACAGATGATGCCTAATTATTTACAAGCTTCAGATCTTAGCAGCTTTCACATTTGAAACCCAGTCAAAGCATATTGGAAAGGATTTATTATCCAAGGTTCAATGTGTTATTCTTTGTAACTTTTGATTTATTAAAAAAACCCAAAAAGGCTGGATGCATTTTTGTAGTCTTTCCAGCTACAGGATAACGATGTTAATTGTTTTGGCTAAATGTGCTACGATTGATGCTTTGCCTCCTCGGATCTCAGTAAATATCAAGATTTCTTCTGTTTCTGTTTTTTTTTTTTTTTGGTTTTGTTTTTTTTGTCATGATTAAAACTATAATTCGTCATACGGGGGAATTTGAGTAAATAGGAGTACAGGTGATTAACAAAGATGATGTCAGATTGTGATTGAAATTCTAGTTTTGAGAGTTGAATCAGAATTCTGTTTTGAATTCTGATTCAACTCTCAAAACTAGAATTTCAATCTCAGGAAATCATTCTTGAGCTCACCATGGGGATTAAAAGAAATTAAACCCACTCAAAGATTTTGGTCAAAACAAACAGGAACTAATCATAACTTAATCCACCTGGATAACAACCTTTTATCTATTGGTAAAAATGTAATCCCAGAGCATGATGGTGCCACCATTATGTGGCCATTGTGTTTCTCTTGGTGATGTGTTGGGATCTTTTGAAATTATGACCCATAAATTATTATTTTTATTCCATCAGATTATTATATATTCCCCACCAATCAGTGGCGGCCCCAAAGGGGTGGCAAAGGGGGACTGTGGCCCCTGCTGGAAATATACTAACTAGCCCTTTACCCCCCAGAGAATCATGTTTGGTTCATAAAAAGGCATACAGTCATCATGTAAAACTCAATAAATAAATAAATAAATAAATGCAAATATATGTAGTTGTTCCACCCTAAAATATGGAGAGTAAAGTTTTATTTCATACTTAAAACATAATCAGCACTTGTTGCTCTAGCCACATGTTTTTGTGATTTGATCAGGATAAATGTAAAAAAAAAAATTAAAAAATTCCTCCATCACAGAAGCCTGGTATTTTAACATGGATGTGTACAGTTTACAGAGAGCTAGCATAAGAGCGCCTCCGTTGTGTATCCTATTTAATCAGCAGTAAATCCCTCCATCCCAGCTCACAGCACATCTGGAGATGTTATGAAACCACGTTTTTTTTTTTTTTTCCACTCTCCCAGACAAACACCACGTTACGTGAGCGCAGTCCCGCGCGCGCGGAGCCGTAGGTGCGTCCGCGCCTGTCGGGCCGCGCTGTTTGGTTGCGCATGTAGGCCGTGTGCTCATTATCATGCGCGCATACCTCTTATTGCTGCTCGGTTTCATGGTTGAGCGAGAAAGAACACTTAGGAGGAGGTGAAGCAGAAGAAAAACACACGAGGGGAAGGCAATGTTTTGTTTAAGCCTCGGCTGCCTGCTCACCTTAGAACTCAACTTATTGCTGGAGAATCGGACATTATTTAAAATCATGTGACTTAGTGGGAGGCCTCGGTGGGGACGTTGAAAGCTAAAAGTCACACACAGTGTGACGTGGATTAGAAAATTGCAAATCCTCCAAGAATAATCACTTGCCCAACACATTGCTCCAGTTCCTTTTGTGTTTTCGGAACCAGTAAAGACACGAATTGAACCGTCTGGCCTCTAAATCCACCACTAACGTTTCTTCTCCCTCTCCGCTGTTGTTGCGGTCAGGTACATGAACTGCAGGGTGCCGGCCAACAAGAGATACCAGCCCACAGAGTACGAACACGCAGCCAACTGTGCCACACACGCGGTAAGATGACCACCATGTGTGGGTGGGAAAGTGGTTGACTGGATGTGGAGGCAGAGTAGAGAGGACAGTTCTTTCTTTTTTGGCTGTGACGAGAGGAGATAATCTGCGAGTTTCATTTAATCTGTTGTAATCCTCGCATCCTAGCACAGATGGAACGAAACAGACGGATGCAGAAATTGGAAGAAAATGGGAAAATAATGCTCAGTTGTGTTTAGGCTTTTTTAGATTTTGGCTTGAGCCGTGACGTATAAACCCACTAAGCATGTTCACACCTGCCACTGATCATTTATATGCATTTGGTCCTTCTTGGACCCCAGACTGTTAGAGATGATAGTCGTTCTGTTCCAGTTGTACTTGGAACTGGGAAATTCTGAGTTCCCAGTCTGAAAATCAAGTTAAACACCATCAAAAGTGGGTTTCCCTACTGGGAAACGAGGAGCAACTCTGACTACCCCCAGTTACGACTCGTAAGGAGAACTTTGTGTTTCAATATGTCCGATCCTCCCGTCAACAGTAGAGAGATGTGGTGAAAATATGTTTATTTTACATGACACATAAAGCTCTGGAAATAAATAAGAGACCACTTAAAATGATCAGTTTCTCTGATTTTCCTTTTTATAGGTATATGTTTGAGTAAATTAAATTTTTTTTATTCTACTGACATGTCTCCGAACATCAAACCAAAGATTTTGTATTTATTTGGAGAAAATGAGAAATGGTCAAAATAGCAAAAAAAAGATGCAGTGCTTTCAGATCTCAAATAATGCAAAGAAAACAAGTTCATATTCATTTAGAAAAAAACAATACAGATGTTTTAACTCAGGAAGAGTTCAGAAATCAATATTTGGTGAAGTTTTCAATGGGGTTCAGTGCAGTGGGCTGTTCATTTTTTCCAGAGCTGCATGTAAAATGGGTCAACAACCAATGTTTCATGTAGCGCCTGCAACTACACACTCGGCAAATTAAAATTTGTGTTTGCTTATGGAAAGAAAAGCTTAAAATGATGTTCATAAAAGCTATTAGAAACAAAGTCTAGGCTCGTAGCCATGTTGAAACCTCAGGTGTGAAGTCGAGGTCATTACCCAGGTAACTGGAACGCAGCATTCTTCCCAGCCAAAATCTAAAATATTTCTTTCAGCCTGCTGTTAAAGAATTAACAACAAAAAAGTATAAATGAAGCTGTCTGAGTTAATTCCAACAATAATTTATGACTTTTTTTTTTTTTAGATTTGGATTCTTCCCAGCATGGTGGGCGGGTCTGTGCTTTACTTCCTGTCTGTGGACAAATGGCACCGGGTGGCCGCCTTGCTCTATGGGAGCGGTCTGACCGGCCTCTTCCTCACCTCGACGCTCTTCCACACGGCTGCCTGGAAGATCAGCCATCTCCGGTGGGTGTTTGCACATCTGCACATCTCGGCAGTTCTAGATTTTCAAGTCGCCGTGGGTCTGTAGTGTCACAGTGGGAGAACAATACTGGAGTAGAAGACTGTTTACAAATGGAGAACATATTCAAATCTGTCAAAAACAATGACTTCCCAGTGGTTTTATGTGTTTTGAAGCGTAACATTTTAGATATAATTTCATAAGATCGTACTGAATTTGAAATGTTTCGTCTATATCTTTTTGCAGGAAGGTGGAGGAACGTTTCCACAAGTGTGACCGGATGGCCATCTACTTCTTCATCGCTGCCTCCTATTCTCCCTGGTGGGTCTTTGGATTGGATTGTCTGTAAAGATAAAAATCAAACGCCATCTGATCCAGTTGGGGTTTAGGCCACAAACGGCACTGGGACACATTGAGGTCTTAAATGGCATGTCTTCATGTCTTGACACTACTTGATTTGACAGGTTGATCGTTACATATTGGTTGAGAGATTGGAACAGTGCTGTGCTAAATTGGTTCAGGATTTACTTGGGGGGACAGAGATTACGTCTGGAGTTCCTCAAGGCTCAATTCTCGGGCTCCTTTCCTGTTGAACATCAATATACTTGCCTTAGCTCCAGGGGTTTAACGAGATCTTGTCGTACAAGATTTCACAATATTAAAACTTCACATACGGCAGGAGAACGCTGTCAATATGTACTGTAAGTTCTGATGCTGGAAGAGACAGAAAGCATCACAATGACCTCCAATGCCAGGACCTCTCGGGGTCTGCAAAGGTAAATGTTGCAGACAGTTGAAACTCTGTCCTAAGATCTGGAGAGATTCAACAAGTCAGAAAAAGAAAGATGTCAGATTGGCTAGAGGCCTTTTTGCAGCATAACTTGGATCTTTGAGGTTTTCTTAAAAGTAACTCTAAAATTTGGTCTCTTGTCCTGTGAACTCAATGTCGCGTCTCGTCTTGAGAGTCTTTGGTTTCATTACAACATATTCTCCCTCATCAATGCTGATGATGCAAGACTTTATGCTCATGCTTCACCACAGGACAACGGCTCCGTACAGTCACTGAATAACTGAGTCTATAATATCGGTGTGTGTCCTGGGAAAAATGTGCAAGTTAGAGTCACGTGACCAGAGTTGAATTAAAATCATCCTCAGGTTGATGCTGAGGGAGCTGGGACCCTGGACGTACCACATGCGCTGGCTGATCTGGGTCATGGCTTGCGTTGGGTCCACGTACGTCTTTTTTTTCCACGAGAGGTAAGATTCTCTTCTTAAAGCTTTGCGTGAACGTGTTGACTGAAACCCAACTCCGGCCCTCATGTGTTCAGGTGAAACTCTGCAGCCTTTTTGACGCTCCCGTTCTTGTTCCGCAGGAACAAACTGGGAGAGCTGCTGGGATATGTGACAATGGGGGCTGTTCCTGCGTTGGTCATTCTGTCCATGGTGAGCACTGAAACAACAGTCTGGCTACTGTCTGTTTTCAGCTTCATGCTGAGCCCGTCTCTGATCGTTCGACACTTCCTTCCATTGTGGTTGAACCGCACGGCCCCTATAGAGAGTCAAGCTGAGACCTGTTTGCTTCAGCGCGTTTCCTCCGAACACATCATCTCCTTGCTATGCTAAGCCAACATATGCAAATGTTTGTCATTAACCTTCTTGTCTTCTGAATCATTGTGGTTAGACTCATTAGAAGCCCCTAATGTTTGCTTTCAGTGCCTGGAAGTTGAATCTGCTCTTCTGAAACCTCATAGCTTTGAGTTTAGAGGCCCCGCGCTCACCAGCTCAATCTTCAAGTCTGATCATGTTATTTTCAGAAAAGATTAAAAGAATTTGCCAAAGCGGCTTTTAGGTTTATTTCAAACGTCACCGAAATGCGAGCGAGGAGTGTAACGGATATCACTGGGAGTGTTTTGCCCTCACATTTGTGGTATAAACAGAAGCCGTGTCCTTCGGGTTGAAACACTTGAAAGCAACAGAAACATTCAATATAGCTTATTACGTTTTGGAAAACTTAGCACTTGATACTCTTTAAGTAATCAGAGGCCAGTTCACCAAGTATCCCTCAAGATGAGAATAAAAAAAAAATCTGGGTAGGTTTTAGTTTCTGTGCTATTTTCTTTAACTTTTCAGTTTTTTCCTGCTAACCGCTGTGACACCCTCGCCATGCCCCCAGGCTCTTCAGTGAAATGTGTCCCGCTCCATCACAGGTGGACCGCGCAGGTGTGTGCGAACTCGCTCTGGGAGGCGTCTTCTACGCGGTGGGCGTGGCCTTCTTCAAGAGCGATGGGCTTGTCCCATTCGCCCACGCCGTATGGCATCTTTTCGTTGCGGTCGGAGCGGGCATTCATTACTACGCCATCTGGAGGTACCTGTACCTGGCGGGACCACAGCCGCAGACGTCGAGGTGACGGACAGCTTTCCAGCCGATCTCACTGGAGGATAAACACTGGAAGCTGCCGATTCGAAACCCGAAGGCGGCTACTGAAGGCCGCACTTAAACGGACCGAAGAGTTTCATCTTGGGTTGGTGCTGATGATTAAACTCTCAGTTTTAGGGACGAAACACCTGATCAAAGCCAGTACAGTATGATAAATGGGAGCTTATTCTAATATATTATTGTGATTCTGCTGTTAAAGAGCTGACTAAGAGCATTATTTGTATTAAGTTTTCATTTGTTTCTCCAGCTCAAGGACTGGTAAACCTCATCCATGTGTGCCTAAATAGAAAACTGCAAAAGTTTTAAGCACTTTAAGCCTACTTTTTTTTTTTTAAGCAATAACTTATATCACTGCTAAAATATTTTCTGTTGTTGCTAAACATATATAGGTTTAGCATTGAAATATCTTCAGTAGAATAATTTAAGGTCTATGGTGGCTCAAGTGTTGAAATTGTTCACATTTTGTCATGCTACAACCACAGATGTCAACGGGTTTAATGGTGATTTTATGAGACAGTAACCCAACAAAAAGGTGGTGCATAATTGTGAAGTAAAAGAAGAATAATAGACTTATTTAGGTTGACGCTTACACTCGGAGCTGCAACAAAAGCTTAAATCGAGTCATGTTCGTGAGAATGAACGGCTCAATTAAAGTTCAGACGTAGGTCAGGTTCTTTTGGAAAGAAGAAATTTTAGTCTCAAGATGCATCATTCCACCTCAAAACACAAGCGCACCGCACTTTTCAGACTTTCATTGACAAAGAAATGTGAGAACCATAATTTTTTTTCTACTTCACAGTCATATCACATAAAACCCCATTAAACCACGTCAACGTTGATGATCGTAACATGAGAAAATGTAAAGTTTAAGGGGTAAATGTACTTTTGCAGTGCATAATGGCTGCAGATAAATTATCTCTGAAGCTAAATGAAGATCATTGTCAGTGGAATGTTGATTGGCTGTCAGGGGAAAAACCAGAATGTCTTTTCTATGCTAAGCTAGCATAGGAGCTACTTTATGTCAGCATGAAGCAATAATTTACAAGATGGTCGTTTTAGTGGTCCAGATTCAGAGTTGTGAAGAGTTTCTAAAGGACTCGAAAAATTCTTTGGGGGAGGATTTTGGCTGTCTTTTCCATGCAAGTCTAGTTCAAGTACCAGATCCTGGTAGCATGTTGTGTCATATGGAGGACAAAAGAAGAAGAATCGGTATCAGAGACGGGTCCCTTACAAGATGCATCGTTTTCTCCTTGGGAATCACAACATCTCAGCAAAAATATTATTTTCCTTTTTTTAAAACAGGAATCTGGTTTTTGCTTTTCGTTACAGGCTGCTGGTAACAAAGTGCCCAAAGATCCAGTTCAAAATGAGTTCTTTGCTCAGTTGGGTTGTGTATGTTTGCACTCAACACTAATTCAACAATAAGCAGCGACAATTACTGAATAATTTATAGGCTGGACTTAGCTGACGTAATGAACAACATGAAACTGATCAGCTGTTGGCAGTGAAAATGAAAAGAAATTGGTGATATCTCAAGGTTTTTTCACAGTAACTGTTTGCTTTGGGGTTCCAAAAGTTACCAGCCACTTTTAATAACTGACTTTGTCACACGGTGAGAGTTTAAGGGAGGCATTCTTTTAAAGATATGCTCTGTGTTTGGCTAAGAAGTTCTGGTTAAAAGTCCACTCATCCGGTGGACCGAGAGCGTGGGGAGCAATGGAGACGGACCTAAAGCTCCTGTGGATCAACAGCTGCTCTCAGGATGAATATCGTCTGATTGTAATTTTGTTGTTGATTTTTATTGTTTGTGAAGGTGTCGCTAATTAATTTTACACGATTTGCTATGGTAACATGTCGAGGTTAAATAACTCCAATCTGGGATAGTTAAAGATGCGTCATAGAGAACTGACAAAAGGAAAGGTTTTAAATTGTACAGGCAAATTCAAGACGGACTGCAGGGGATCTAAAAAAGTGTGTTGGCAAATAAAATGAGACGATAAATTATTCTTTTTTTTTTTGCAAATTTAACACGTTGTAGTTGACTGAAAAACAAAAACATCTGAATTATCTGGTTGCATGAGTATGCACACGCACATATTGGAAAATCATCCAGTTTTAGTCTGTTTTCTTTGTGAAATTTTTCTCCACCCTTCTCCTGATTGATACCTTTGCACAGTGAGATTATTTTCACTAGAACAGCTGACCTTTCAGTTTCATCAGACCTTGAATATAGAAATGATCAGATCAATGCTGTGCTCATTTATGGAACCAGGTTTATGAAGCTTTTAGATTTGTAGTTATTTTTTCTTTTTCACCTGATCTGCACTAAAAGTGGGAAAAAAATCTTTGAAATGATTTGATCAAAATTTTTGTAGTCAGTTTAATAGAAAGTTACACCGCTGCATTCAGACTCTGGACTGTGATTGCCAGTTATTTTGCTAATACGATGCACTTAAACTCACAAGCACTTTTCAATTCACAGATGTGTCATTTATGCAGAATTTAATCAAACCAACTAGTTGAATCTGGACGACCGTGTCGATTTAAGCATGTTGAGCATGCAGATTATCCATGCAAATGTTGATTTTTATTGATGACAGTAAAAGCCACAAGTGAGAGGATTTTTCTACTGAAGTGTGTTACTGTTTTAAGACACCACTGACTCAGGAAGTGAAGAACTGTGTGTGTGGTTTTTTTAATCAAGTATTTTTTTTTTTTTGTAAAAAAAGCTATATTTCAGTAAAATCATTGTAATAAATATGACACTTCAAAAACCAGTGAGATTTTTTTTTTTTTTTAGTTATTTACAACATCATTAAATTTCAGATGAATCATCTCATTTATTTACAAAAAAAAAATCTAATTTCAAAATGAAGGCGTTTTGTTGTTCAGATAATTCATATTAAGTGCGAGTGCAGGAGAATGAAGTGTGTGTGTGTGTAGGTGTGTGTGTGTGTGTGTCACTGCGAGTGTGTGAGCCTGGTGAGGACTCGAAGCTGCAGCGGCACGGCCAGGTTCGTGTCTCTGTGCCAGCGTGGCGTCAGGACGTGAGGGGGAGGCGTTAGGACGCTCTGAGCCACACCGGGGGCCTTCAGCAGAGACCACAACTCCTCACCACGGGTTACTATGGCAACGAGGTCGTCTTCGTCGGCGCACCAGGCAACCGAGCCGTTTCTGGCTGCGGTTCTTAGCTTGGAGAAGAAAAGAGACACCCTACCGAGAGACAGAAATGATCAATCACGTTACATTATTCTAAAAGGAACTCTAATAAAACACACACAAAAAAAGTCATTCACCTTGGAATCAAGTCATGTGATCGCGACGCCAGTTTAGCCAGCGCGCTCATCAACGTGGTGATGACTTTAGGGGCGGGGCACACCGTCCCACGAGGCGGGGTAGACGAGGTTATCTCAAACAGCACCGCCTCCAGAGTTTCAAAACAGGAAGTGATGAGCGCCACAGAGCAGCTGGAGTCAGACGACACCGACAGGTACTCCCCCAGCACCCACACCTGCCGACCAAAATGAAGAACGAAAAAAAAAAAACAGCTCAGCGTTTTCTATTGCGTTTTTTTATTATTTCTATCGAGTGACAGACCGGCCCAGCAAGTCACGTCTGTACGTATACAGATAAAAATGATAAAAAAAACCTATTTACTACTTTTCTTTAAGGTTTAATATTGCCACAAACAAATGTTATTCTTCAGAAAATATTCTAAGTGTGATTTATACTGCAAAGCTGCACATAGTAGCCGTGTTTAAACACATTTTCAAATTTACTGACATTTACTGATGCTCTTGTGGAAATTAAATTAACATCATTATTTTGAATTTCTCAAGATCCAAATTATCATCATAAGATCATTTTAAAAATAAATGAACAATAAAATAAATGTCTACCTCTACACTGTTGCCAACTTAGCAACTTTGTGGCTAGATTTAGTGATTTTTTTTCCTTAAAAAAAAAAAAAAAAAAAAAAAAAAACATAATTGGAAAAAATTTTAATCAGAACCAAAACTGATTTTTGTTTCTTTACCACATGAGTGTAGACTTCTTCCTTGCTGTAGACGTTCGCCGTCGTCCCAGCAAACTCCAGCAGCTCGTGTGACTGGTCCACAACCAGAGAGGGGTGGAGCTTGCACAGCCTCAGCAGGTGGCAGCTGAACACCCTGCAGGAGGGCAACGAGGGCCGAGGTGAGAAAAAGGAGGCGGGGAAACGGAGACAGGACATCTCCTGCTGTACCTGTGTATCTCTCTGCTGTAGGTGGGGATGGCGAGGAGGAGGCCGCTCCTCTCCAGCATCACCAGGATCAGGTGAGCCAACAGCTTCTCTTCAGCCACCTGAAAGCCAACGACGACCGATGTTAGTCTGTCTTTTCCGAACGTTAAACTCGGGATGCGCTCTGTCCCTACCGTAACAACCGTGTTGAAATAAATGTGCAGCAGCACGGGGACGACCTGGGCGCAGCGCACCACTCTGGGCCAGTCGGCCGCCTCGGCCAGCAGGTCGTGGAGCGTGCTCAACCGGTCGATGGTGTGACCTAAGCAGAGGAGTAAAATCAGTACGACTCCACCGAAAAAACACAATTTTATTATTAAAAAAAAAACAAGTCTTGAAAACAACAGCGACAATTATCGAGTTAATCTGATCAACAAACAATTTTCTTAAAAAACTGAGTTTTCTCTTATATCAGAAGGGTCAATCATCTTTTCATAACAGAAAGGGCTAAATTTGTCATAATATGCTGATTTTAAAAAAAAAGTATAATTAAATTTTAACATTATTTTTGTTTCAGTTCCATTAAATACTGACTGAATAAACAGAAAATTGTGGGTTTCTCATATTACAGTTAGACATATTTATGAAACAACAAAATGTGAACGTCTCCAGTTGTGAGCAGAAATATAAAAGATGAAAAGAATAAAACATGTGAAACAGTACTACTGTGTGAACATCTCTCTGTTAATGTGATATTGTCTGGTTGCTATTGAAAGAAAGTTAAAATTTTGTTTCATGAAGCACTTTAACTCAAAAATCAACCTTGCTTATTAGGATGGTGTTTTGTTCCCCATATGCTAAATCTCTCTCTGCTATGGCCTCTTCACATCCGTTATTTTTTATTGAGAAGTCGACGCTGCCCCGTCATGCATCCCGGCTGAATGAGCGCCATTAAGCTCGTTCGTGTTTCAAAACAGAACCGCAATAAGAGCGTTTTATGTCCCACACCGGACTCTGTTTGGACCCTTTCTCTTTCCCGTATGGGCCCGCCATCTTTATTTCTGCATCAACTAGCTCCACTTAGGGACGACCAGCGCCGCCCTCTCCTGGATGGCGGCCAAACTACAACACTGAAAGAAGGTTTAAGTGAAAGTTAATAGATTGGAACTAATTTTAACCTAATAAACCATTAATCATGAGCTTGTTAACCGTTTGCTCAGATTTCATACCCGTCCGTCACGCGTGTGGATTATGTAAGTGTGGAAAAGGAATTCCCAACATATTTTGAGTCTTGTCACTACCTGAGCCCGTCTCCACTCGAAGCAGAAAGAGGAAAAGTCCTCTGAACGCGGGGTTTCGAAATGCGTCGAGCGACAGCAGGCCTCGGCTGCTCGACTCTGAGATGGGCAAAGACACGGACCTGCAGCACGCACACAGAGAAACGAGTGAGGCGTGGGTAAATAACCAGCATTGAACGCGTTTGTGCGTCTACAGACCTGAACTGCAAGATGAGTGTAGCAGAAAGGCACGGCAGGTCCAGCAGCGTGTGAAGCATCTCCACCGCAGTTCCTTCAGTAACCAGAGAGGGCAGCAGATCCACAAAATCATCCACAACCGCTGAGCTATCCCATGCTAGAAACTACACACACAGAGGGTTCAGAAAGTGAGCAGGGATCCAAGCAGTGGCACGCAGCACGCCTGGGTTTTGGATCGACACCTTCAGGAAGTTCGGGAGGAATCGTATGAACTCAGGCGCTCGGAGCCGCAGGCTGTCCAGGTTCTGCCGGAGGAAGCGCAGCAGCTCGTGGGCGAGGAAAGGGTTGTTGAAGAGCTCTGCGGGAAAGCGGCCAAAGACCAACTTCCACACACACTCGCAGTCCACGGCTGCCATTTCACCTGCGCACACACACACACACACATTCAGGGTCACATCTACCGTTATTCAATTTCAGATAAACACATTCGTAGTTGTTGGTGGATTTTCCTCCGCATTTAACATAAACAGCGTTGTATGCGTTCTATGCAGCTCTCGAATCAAAAGCAGAAAGTTGTCAAAAAGACAGCATGCAGAGCAGAGTCTGTACACTAAAATATAACATTTTATGTTTTGAGATGTTTCTCCAACGCAACTGGTCTGAGAATGAAACACAAATTTAAAAAAAAATCCCCCAACTTAAATAACATCTAATGCATAAAATAAAGGACAACCTTTGGTTCAATTACACAGATCAGTAAGTCAATGAGCAATTACGAATAATAAATATGAAACACATGGAAACAATCCAAACAAACTGTGTTGAAGTAAATTATTTTCTTGCTCAGATTAAATGCTTAATTAGCAAGTAAAAAAAAAAAGAAATATGTTTAGTGTCAAAAATAATTTTGGTCATTCTAACTAACCTAAAATAAGAAAAGTTTTGTCTGATTTAACTTGAAAAAGTGAGAGAACTAAATGTGTGTGTGTGTTTTAATCAGATTGTATGAAAATATCTGGCGTCAACCTTAAACAACATTGTTCAAATTTAGGCTTTCAATGAAAATGTTGGATTGCATTTTATTACAAAACTGTGCAGTTTGAATATGAAGCATTTTCAAGCACTTTCCATTGAACACATAATATAAATTCAAGCATTTTTAAAGATTTCAAAGAAGCTTGTCTAAGGTAGCAAAATCAAAGCGCAACATTAAATGGAAAATCAAATGTCTCTTCTGTGAGAGTAAAAATAGGACTTTTAAGATAGAAATGGAGCTTGAACAAACATCTAATTAAACATCAGACTATTGTGATTCATAGGAGTTTGGTAAAAGGCTTAAGAAAGGAT